TAATAAAAATTATATAATAAAATAAATTATCATTGAAAAAAAATATAATTTAAAATTTATTATTATTATTATTATTTTATCAGATATAATTATTTTTTAAACAAATTATTATTTTTCAAATTACAGAATTTCTTCTCATCCAAAACTTTTTATTTCAAAAATTCTATTTTAACCGAATATTAATTTAGAAAAATTCTCATTCAACAGAATTATTACTAATTTTTAACTGTAAATAAGGCTACCTGAATTAAAATAAGACAATTTTTTATTTATTTCACTTTATGATATTTTAGTTTTCTCTTTGCATTAACCTCTTCACTTCTCAATTAATTTTGAAATTTACACAAAAAAAAAAAAAAAAATTGTAACTGGTGAAAACTAAATTAAACAACTTTTTCATGTTCTGGGTACTGTCACAAAAGAGAGAACTAACAAAGCGAGTTGCTCCTGGGCTTTTTTTTTGTTTTTTGTGTCAAGCCAATAGTCACAACATATAGTTATAAAAGAAAAAATATTCTTTCCTTGTATATATAGAAGATTTTACATTTCCAAACAGAATTCTCATTCAATTGAAAAATATTTTTATAATAAATAATAAATCTAGATGAATATCTAAATAAGTACGTATTTAGAAAATTTAATTTCGAATATTTCAGAATCCAACTAAGACAAATATTCAAAATTTCAATTAACTAAGACAAATTTCAAAAAAAAAAAAATTCTGAAAGTTTCATTTTTCAATTCTTTGAAGTCTGATTTAAAATTTATTCGAAATTAAAAATTTTAGCACAATATTTAGTTTTAATGGTCAAAACAATTTTGGATAGTAATTAAATTTTACAGATTTTTTTTAAGTAAATTTTTTTTTTTAATAATTGCAAAGATTTTAAATTTGAAATAAATTTTCAGCAAATTTAGTCTGTTGAATTTTTTTTTTCAATTTCTGACTGCTTTCAGTTCAATATCTATAATAGATTGTCGAAACTATAATATTAATTTCACTGAATTATTTGTTCTGTAAATACTAGAAGCCGACCGATTCCTGAAGGCTCTATAAACACCGGATGTATCAAAACTATTGGCACAAGGTTTAATATCTCTAAGATTTGCCACAATCAAGTTTGCATCTCAATAAATGTTTATTTTACAAATATATAAACATTGCAACAAATTGCAAAATTTAAATATACTAAATTTACAAAGTATGAAAAAATTATATATTCAAAAGTTCTGTAAGCTATCCAAAAAAAAAATTTCCCTAGGATAATTTCAACTCAAAGTATGAGCGTCTAACGAAAACTTTAAGGTGTTTGCTTTATATTTGTGCGACAGCAAATTTAAGCTTCTCACTGCTTGGGCTGGTAGAAACGAATTCTCCTAGATGTAAGAATTCCTTCTCTTATCGAAAACTTTCTGCTGACGATAGGGGGAAACTTCGTCACGTGGGATAACCTTTTCTTATCAAACAATTTAAACTTTTCATCGTGGTACCGAAGATTCGACCGTGCAAACGCTTTCAACACCTCGACAACGCTGTTACACAGTCGAGAAACTCTTGATGTGCAAAAAAAAAAAAAAAAAAAAAAAAATACAGAAAAAAAAATTTAATGGAGAAATGAACTAGCATTAAATTTTAAGCACGGTACGTAAGAGGACGTCTCTCCGACTTTTGAAATAAATACACCTTTTACCTATTGAAAAATTCAGTATATTCAGAAGGCAAAAAAAAAATTTACGTTGCAGTTACAGTTATATCTGTCTAAAAATGTTTTACTTTTATATAGAAATGTAGTTTTTAAACGAAATCACTTCTTTATACAAAAATTTGATTCCATTACTCAATGAATAATAATTAATTAATAAAAGTATATATTTAATAATAATAATAATAATTTTCAGTGAACGTTTTTGCTACTTTTAAAGAACGCTAAAGGAAAAAATATAAATTTTAAATGTTTTTGAGGAGAATAAAATTTTTTGAGTGGAAGTTGTCGTATATATGTGTGTATACTAAGAAATAAATTCTTTTCCGCTCTAGAAAACGACCTTATGAGAAAAGAAGCTGTAACCCCCGCGCGCAGATGGAGAAATCTCCACCTCGAACTTTGAACTTTTACCTTTTCTTCTTCGCTAGCTCTTCTTTGCACCTTCCATTTTACCTTCCATCTTCATGATGACGACCTACTCTACTCGTGGCAAAAGCACGGACTTCCCCTTTTCAAAAAAGTATCCCTCCGGATACAATAACATCGCGCAGCTTTTCTAGAGACGCTTCAGGCTTGCGAGAAGATAGTTCTTAGATTTACAAAAAGAAAAAAAAAACTCTCATTCTCTCGTTAACTCTCTTTCAAAAATAATATTACAACTTTACGATAGGAATCAACATTTACTATATTATTATTATTATTACGTATAATAAATTTTTTTACAAAATATTAAAAGTAATTTTCATTTCTTTAATGAAATAATTTAATTTTGAAGTCTCGTAAATAAATAAATAAATAAATAAATTTCGATTCACGTCAAAAGCTATTTTTTCGCAAAATAAATTTTGAGATAGATGAATAATGTCTAAAATTATAATTTGTTAGAATTTTTATTTGACAGAATTTCAGTGGATAGAATTTTTTTTTAGCAGAATTTATATTTGTTCGAATTATTTTTTGATAAAATTTCCATTAAACCAATTTTCTATATTGCAAAATTTTCATATATATATATATATATAAATTCACTTCACAGAATTTTTATTTATTCGAATTTTCTTTTGGTAGAATTTTTATTTGTTCTAATTTTCATCTAAGGGAAAGGACCAGTATAATTTCAATCAATCGAAATTATAATATTGTTTTGAGCTGTCAATTTTTTTTCTAACAATATTGAGTACTTAAAATTATGATATATGTATAATATGAAAAATTAAAGAAACAATTAATTTGTTAATATTTTTTTAAATAAAACTGAAAATTCTGGAAAATTAAAAATTTGAATTTCTATTACAATTTCTTTAATTTCTCATTGTCGATTTATTTTTTATTTTTGAAAAATAAAACAAATTTATAAAATTAAAAATCTACTTTTTTTTTATTTTTCACAGTGAAATGTAATTACAGGTTCTGAAAAAATATCAAAAAAAAATTGTTTATCCCTAGAAAAGGTAAATTTTGATTATTTTTAATTTTACTGGTGATTCATTAAAAATTGAACTTCTTTCACAATTTTGATTATTTTTCATCGAAAAATTTTTTTTATGCTTTTTTAATGATATTGAACAATTAATAGTACGGATTTAAAAAAAATTTTAATTTTTGCAAATAATAAAATAAATAAAAATAATTTTTTTTTAATTTTAATATTATATACACAGAGAGAAATCTGGTGCGATTTACGCATGTCCTTAGGAATATAGTAACAGACGCTTTCAAGCAAAAATCCTAAGTGAGCGAGGTATTATTGTATGAGTCTCACCTGATATTCAGATGGAATCTTATAGTTTTTGCTTGGAAGTGTCCATGCTATATTCCTATGGACTTGCTCATGCGCAAATCGCAGCAGATTTCTCTCCGTGTAATAATTTTTGATATTAAATAATGCCAGAAAAAAAATTTATACTTAATCGAAAATGCATTTAACATAATTTCTATTTTATCGAATTTTTTATTTTACAGAACTTTCTTTTGTTCGAATTAACTTTAGGTCAGAAAGTTTTATGCAAGAATTTTAAAATTAATCAATCAGAAATTATTCAAAAATATTTTGATTTAATTTTTAAATTCACGCCGAAATGTTTGTGTTAAATAATAATTCGAAGAAATGAAATTTCGGTCAAAAGAAAATTTGATCAAATAGAAATTATGTTAAATAAATTTTCAGATTTTTTTTCAACAGAAAATTCTGTTGAATAAAAATTAATTTAAATGGCTATTCAATTAAATTATAATTCAAAGAAATAGAAATTCTAAGAAATAAAAAAACGATCAAGTAGTAAAATCGGTTTAATGGAAATTCTGTTAAAAAACAATTCAAATAAATAAAAATTCGACTAAAAGAAAATTCTATCAAATAAAAATTCTAATATGTAAATTAATTTTAGACATTATTCATGTGACTCGATAATTTAATAAAAAGAAAAAAGAAAGATTTTTTGTATTTCAAGAAATGAATCCACACAAAATATATTTGAAAAAAAGATTGTGGGTGAAATTTCTGTAGTTTTTGGATCTTGCTTACAAAAAATGTAAATGGCAAAAACTACGAAAGTACATTGAAAAAAATTTATTTATATCAAATAATTGACTATTATAAAATAAATATTTTATCTGTATCAAATAATTATTGAGCCAATTAAATGCTATTTGTTTCAAAGACATAAATTGTTGGTTCAAATACAGAAATTTTTGGATTAAATACAGTTTATTTAATTCAAATAAAAATTATTTGGTCCAACTAAATATTTATTTGCTAATAGTTAAGTAACCGATTATTTGAATGAAATTAAATTTTTTTTGTGTACCAAAAGCTACAAGAAATTACACCAAAAACCATTTTGTTTTTTTTTGTTTTTGTGAATTATTTTTTATACGCAATTAAATAGCAAAAAGAAAGAGCTGTCAAATATGTTATAAAAGGGGTATTTATCAATTAAAAAAAACTGTCTCATTAATTGAATAACATTTGACAAGGAACTTTACCTCATCTTTTCTATTTGACATCACGGATGTTGCCGATATCCATTACTCTAATGGTCTTGTGGGCATGGTGAGCTTGTAAAGCTCATTAAAAGCTCGTTAGAGGCTTGCCGCAAGCCTACCTTCAACGCGTGTGAATAAGGTGACATTCGTTTCACAAAAGTATAATATATAAAATTAAAAAAAAATAAACAATAAATAAATAAAAAACTACTATTTAATTTAAAAGAAAATAATTGTTAAATTTTTCTTTTCCTAAAAAACAAAAAAACGATTTTTTTTTATTAAGAAAATATAATTATAGAAACGTACCTGTTTTTTAGTGTCGGAGCCAACTTTAATCCATAATTCAATGTTACTTTGATCCGTGAGAATTTTCGCATTATTAATATAGACTTCATCATGTTTACCATGTTGTCTTCTTGTCACCCATAGAGGTGGATTGCCGTCAAATTCTGAATTTATCGAATTTCCATGTTCCAATTGATTTATTTTGTAAGCCGAGGAAGCTGTAACAAAAAGAGAAATTTTTATAAAAAAAAAGTCTCAACTAGAAGAAAAAAAAATCAGTATATTTTTTATTATAACTCATATTTTGAGGAAGCAACAGAGAAGAAATAATCCTCTAAATCTAAGTAGATTTTATAGTTTCAAAACGATCTGAAGATTTCATATTGTCGAAAGATGCAACAGCAGGAAAAAGAAGATGAGAATAAAGCAGACAACAAAAGAAATATATATATATATATAGAAAAAAGATTAAAAAAAATAGAGGGGGAGGGGAAAAACTTGAGCGAAACTTTTCCGCAAAAGCTACAGAACTCCTCGCTTTATTATCTCGTTACTCGCTAGAATGTCGCAGTAATCCCCGGGGTTTTCCCGCGAACCTACTGCCATTCTGCATCCTGAAACGGATCTGGAAGGTTTCACTGCTTCATAGAGGAAAAGTCACACAATGGTGCTCATTACCCACTCCGAGAGCATTGGATCTCTCGTCTCGTAAACTGCAGTCGTCCGGCTCGACTTTTTAGCCTATAAAAGACTTTTTTCTTTTTTTTTTTTTTATACGTTACTCCTTATAACTCGCAAGTCAAGTGTAACTTTTAACACTTTTAAGAAAATTCTCGATGAAAAATAACTCATTAATTTATTCCAGAGATGTTGATTTAATTATTAAAATCAATACGCAAAAATTTTTATTGACGCGCTCTGAAGAAAGAGAGGTGTAAATTATAGGTTATGTTTTCGAATTTTTAAGTAAAAAAATAAACATCGAGGGGGAAATCACTGGTTTTAAAAAAAAGAGTACACTTCACCGTATTACATTAATATTACACTTATTACCAAGTATTATTGGTGTTATTACACTATTATTATACTTATTACAAAATATTACTATTTACAAAGATATTACAGATTATATCATTAGTGTATTACACAGTGACGTAACCGTCGTAACTACACCCCCTCGAGACCCCATGGAGCAAAAAGGTCCTAAGCAATGTAGTAAATAAAAAATTTTTTAAATACAGATTTGAATGAAATAAATATATTATAATAAATATAAATACTAAATATAATTAACAAGTATTTATGCGGCGCTATTTATACGAAGGGGCCGAAAATTCGTAGTTACGCCACTGTTAGTATTACACTACAGTAATAACACGTAATACAAGAGACAAGATTATTATTAGTATTACAGTACAGTAATAACACGTTATTACACGATTATTACAAAAGTGAAAATTTGAAAATATTGAATAACAACTGTTTTTATTTTACAAAAATAAAAAGGAATTCTTAAGTAAAATTATCGTAAACATAACCTATAATTTGTCTGCTAGGTCACATATTTACTTTCCAAGATATTTTCTATAAAAGAAGAGATGAAATGGAAAATTTTCCTATTTTTTTTCATGTTTATATCAATTCGATTTTTTTTTTGTATTTCACCTTTTTGACGATATTCATCTTTGAACCCGAAAAGTACTCGCGAAAAAACGGATATATATATATATACATAAGCGGAAGGGATTGCTTTTAGCAAGATGGGATTTCTTTTCTATAAATACACACAGGAGTTTTATCTTGAATTCTTAGGTGAATCTTTCTTCACCACACACATATATATCGTGTATATATATAAAGTGTAGGCTTATCTCTTTTAAAATGAAATGTCCGAACTTTTAGCACATTCATATGTAAATGACTTTGTTTGATGGACGCGAGAGGCAAAACTTTTCCCTACAAGAGATAAGCATGCTCTAATTTTCACGGATAAATTTCAGTTATATACAAAAACTTTTGTTTTGTGCGCCCGAGTATAAAAATTTAAACGAAATTTAATATAAATAAAAAAAAAAATTTAGGTTATGTTTATAGTGACAGTTTTACATAAATAAAGAATTATAACAAAAGTATTTATATACTTATTATGATATTAGAGAGGAGGAAATTTTTGTTTGACAAAGTTATATAAAATATGCAAAAATCAATTTAAAAAGGAAACGAGGATTGGAAGAAAAATTGAATGTACTGAGGGATGCGTATAATATCGGACTCGTTCCCTTCTTCATTTCTCTCTTTTTTTTCTTTTTTTACCGTACAGTTCCCTTGTCGCTGCCGTTTCCTTATTTTTTCTCCTCCCTACATCACCTCTTTTCTACTACTTCTTTCCGGAGAGTGAATGATTAAGCTTTCAATCGATTCGCATTCATAGCCCTCTGGGCATAAATGTGAATGCTTCAAACTGCCAACCGCAAAATGAGAACGTTTGCGTAGAATGAGCGTTTATATATATATAGTTCCATTTTATCATCCCTCACTGTTTGAATTCAAATATCTAAGTTTTATTTAGATAATTTAGACACATTTCAACTGATCAAATCAAACAAAATTAGATTTTCCTATTTGAATATAGAAAATTCATAGTTCGTTTAAATAACAAAATTTTTTAAAAAATTACAAAAATTTAATATTTTCTACAGTAAATTATTTTATATTTAACAAAAAAAATGTGAAAATTAGTATAGTATATTTTAATATAGTATATTATATTACAGTACATTATAGTAAATTATATTTATATTTATTATATTTATTATTATTTACCATTAATATCCAATCTATTTCGAATAAAAATATTAAAAAAAAAAAATTACTGAATAATTCATGATTAGATATAAAAAAATTTTGATCAAAATAAATTCAAATATTTCCCACAAAAATGTAGCCTTGTTGCTAACGACATCTATAACATATGTGATAGCAGACGACAAATTAAAATTGGCGCGAAGCATATGTGAGGAGCAAGTCAAGTCAGTATTCGTTCAGTGCTGAAAGGTGAAGCAGTTATGTTCTGTGCTTTGTTATTTTTCTTGTATAAAACATTAATCTCTATTGCTTTATGCTCTGTTTTATTCATTTCGACAAAGTAATATTAGGTTGAATATAATGGAAATTGTTTCAGTCTCGAAGGTAAGTAAAATATTGTAACTACCTGTTGCTGCATGCCACTATTGTAACCTTAAAAGAAAACTGGATACTATATAGAAAAAAAATTTTCTTTTTATAAAAATAATATTTTATTTTCAATATTTTTTTTTGGTTCTATTAAATATGAAGTATTCCTAAGAATATTATTTATTATAAGATGTATCACTGGATGTACGAATTTCAAATTTATTAAATAGGAACAATTGTATAATTTTACTCTACATATAATATATATTAATAATAATATTAAATTCTTACTATCATTAGTTTATATTTTTTAAAATTCTTGTCGCTAATAAAAAACCCTAAATGAAAATTTGCATTTAGTGCTTTATAATAAAAATTTATACTTTAAATAGTCTATAGGATATCAACTTTCTCATACCTTCTGATATATAAACCATTAATCATGAGCATTATCGTTGTACATAGATTATTATCGGAGTTTGCAAAATATTACAATGTAGAGGAATCTGATCATTATTCATTTTTTATGATAATTACACTTGTTTTAGGGCGTGTTTCCCGTCGAATGTTATAAATTTGGAAGAAAAAAAATAAAGAATGAAAATGAAAATTCTAATAAACCATGGTATCAAACTTACAAACAAATCTATCAAACAATTCAAGATTCTGTAGAGGTATTTAAATTTTACATTATAATAATGTAAAATTAATTATATAAAAAGTTGTACAATAGCGTTTTTTTTTTTAATTTTTAGAGAATTAATTATAAAATGTATAAACAAATTTTACAAGATTTGTATTGGTACGTTCAAAATATATCCAATGGTGAAATTAATATTCTACCTACTGAAATATCGACAGCAATTCTTTTAGCTGGTAAGATAGCAATTTTTCATATTTTATTTAAAAAAATTTCAAATTACATAAAATATTTTTCTCGTAGGAATAAATGTTCCCGATCACATTATGCTTTTTGATAAAGTTGAAGAAACACTTCGAGAAATTACTCCCTATATTGCAACAATAAGTTCAAAAAATTGTAACAATCTTAAAAGTATGGTTGAAGAAAGTGTTTATCAAATAATCAATGCTGAAACAAAGGTTATTTTTAAAATAATTAAAAAAATTAATTCCTCTTTTTAGGCAGAGATTTTAAATTATTTTTCTATATTTTTTTCAGAATGATCCTATTATTAAAAAAGTTAATTGTACTTTTCGCGCTTTGACTTCATGGTACAATGAATCGAATGAAAATAATATACCACTTGTGATAATTATAAAAGATTTTGAAAATTTCAATGCCAAAACCTTACACGATTTTGTTTATAATTTAAGGTAAAAATTTTTAATTTAGAAATAATTATATTTTTGCAAAATAAATTTAATATCTTTTTATTTAGCATGCACTCGAGACTGAAGATTGTGTTGATTCTTGGTATTGCAACAAGTTTGCATATTGTACACAGAACTCTTTCTTATGATGTTACATCAAAACTTCGAATAAAAGTATGTAAATTTAATTTAAAATTATTTTTATTATAACAGGGTTGCCACGGGTTAAGGAAATCAGGGAAAAGTCAGGAAATTTTTGAAATTTTTAATTAAAACTTCTGCTTCTAACAATTATTATCTTACTTTTTTATAATTGTAGGTCTCAGATCGACTTTTGAAAGAAAAAAAAGTCATTTTAGTCGAATTAAACTAAGACAAATTTTCAAGATTTCAATTCAGTTTTACAACACATTTTGAAAAATAATTTAAAGTTACATTAAATTACATTATTCGAATTCAGAATTTTGGAAAATGTTTTAAATAAATTTTTGAAGAATTTCATTAAAATATTATTGAAAATAAAAATTCATTTTGAATGAAAATTTGTGAAATAATTGAATTTCAGAAGAGTTTTAATTAAAATTATAAAAATAATTGAATTTGGAAGAGTATCATTTAAAATTTTTAGAAAAAATTGAATTTCAGGAGTTTTTTAATTGAAACTTTTATAAATTTGAATTAATGAAATTTTTTTACAAGTTTCAGACAATAATTGAATTTTAGAGTATTTTTTATTAAAAAAATTTTTATTTCCTTGAATTCTTGAAAAACTGTATTAAAGTAACTAAAAAAATTAATTTAGCGAAGAATTTTAAATAAAATTTTTAGAAATAAATGAATTATAGAGAATTTTCAATTGAAAAATGTTTTAAAAAATTGAATTTTTTATTTTTGAAATTTTCAATTAAAATTTTAATAAACTTGAATTATTGAAATTTTGTAAAAATTATACAAACAAAAAAATTTAATTTTAAAGAATTAATCATTAAAAAACGTTTAATGTAATTGAATTATTGAAAAACTTGATTAAAATTATTAGAAACAATTGAAAATGAAATTGAAGTTAAAAATTTTAGAAATAATTGAGTTTTGGAAGAGCAATAGTTAAAATTTTTGGAACTAATTGAATGTTAGAAGATTTTTAATTAACAGTTTCGTAAATTGGAATTTCTGTAGATATTTAATAAGCTTTAAACAATAATTAAACTTTGGAGAATTTTGAATTGGAAATTTTTTTAAATAATTAATATTCAAAAAATTTGATTAAAATTATTAAAATTAAATGATTCAACAAAGAATTTTAAATAGAAAATTTAGAAATAATTTTATTTCAGAAGAGTTCAAGTTAAATTTTTTAAAAAGAATAATTGAATTTCAGGATATTATTAATTGTAACTTTCATTTTGAATTGGTGAAATTTTTTTCAAAAACTTCAAACAATAATCGAAGTTTAGTAAATTTTCAATTGAAAACTGTTTTAAATCATGTAATCTTCGAAAAATTTGTTTTAAATTATTGAAAATAGTTGATTTTGCATGCAATTTAAATATTTGTTTAATAATTCATTTTTTAGAAATAAAAAAAAAATCGAAAAAGTGCGAAAAATCGACCTGTTATTTAAAATCTCTTGAAATATTATCATTAGGATCAGGGAAAAATTTTTATTTTTGACTAAAAATCAAGGAAAAGTCAGGGAAAAACAAAATAATACTTTTTTTTGTCAACCCTGTATTATTATTAAAATTATTTAAGATTAAAAAAAATTTATATTTGAAATACAGATGGAAAAATATAATGATGATTGTATTAACAGGTATTTTCTACACAAACGCAATTATTAAGTTTATCTGATATACTCGAGGGAATCGTTTTTTCTCATAATGTACCATTTAAATTGACGGGTAAAGCATTTAAATTTCTCGAGGATATGTTTCTTTTTTATGACCTGTCTGTAGACGGATTTTTACAGGCTTATAAGGTATGTTTACAAAATAGAAAAATATTAGTTTTCTTTAATTTTTCTTCATGTATTTCAATTATTGAGATTAAAAGTGTTTGTTCTCAAAAGTTATATATAACAATGATTTATCACAAAAACTGAATTTTACATCGTTTTTTTTAAAATAGAAAAGAAATGAATTTTTTTTCAGATATGTTTGGCAAAACACTTTTTTGAAAATAATTACGCATCTCTTTGTTGTGACATAAATAACGTGGAAAGAAAATTAAAATCTCTAACTGGAAAACATCTTCGGGAATTTAGAAAACTTCCTTCAATCGCTTACTATTTTCAAGGAAAACAAAATTTAGAGGACGAAGATTTTAAAGTAAAAAACTAATTAAAAATAATTAAAATTAAAAATTGATTGTTAAATTTTAATATCATAATATTTTTACAGAAATTTCTTTCGAATTGTGTAAATGAATTTCAAAATTATATGGACAAATTTTTATCAGTGCTTAAATTGTTGCATAATTTTGCAAATACTTGTCCAAGTTTACCTTTTGGCAAACATGTAAGTTGTGAAAATTTTGAAAATTTTCAAAAAAAATAACCTGTTGTTTTTCTTTTACTTTAATTTTAGTTTCGCCAAATTTATGGAGATGCTGTTAGTTCGAATTTAACGGAATTGGATAATTACACAAAAGTTTTACAATATTTGCTACATTTACCAAAAGAAGAATTTTTGGCAAAATTTGAACAAGTTTTAAAAGTTGCTGAGAATAATAAAAAATTCTTGCCGGAAAATTTAATGCATAATTTGAAAAAACACTATCAAATTTTACAAGGCGCAAGTGAAGTTATTTTACCATCGTCGTCAATGAAATCCGATATTCAAAAATCGCCAAATTCTGATGTTAAATTTAACAAACGTTCTGCATTTCATAATGTGAGTTAAAAGAAAGAAAAATTATAATCTTTTTTTAAAATAATTTTGTTTTTCAGAGTCTTCGAAATAATGCACATAAACAAACATGTTCACCATATAAAGAAGCGAGGGAAAATTTTGTCGACTATATCGACAAACAAATATTTTCTGTATTTCTAAAAAATCCTAAAAATCTTTTGGGATATGAAATATTTTGTTTTCACGATAATCGATTAGTGACACGTCAAATTAAAGGATCACTTAGAGCGGCAATTGAAAATTCTTTAAATAATCCGAATCTTCTTCTAGAAGTATATGAATTTTATTTATTTTTTTAATTTTTAATTTATTTGAAATTAAATTTATCGTATTTTTTCAGTGCCCTTGTTGTGTAATCGATAATGAGACGGAGATTTTACAAACAATGCCTGATATTGTGATAATTTATAAATTACACAAGGAGAACAAGAAACTAATAAACATGTACGATTGGTTACAGGTAATTCCACTTGTTATATTGTATATATGTGTAGATACGTTAAGGACACGGATATTAAAGCTGATCTCGTTTGATGATTCGAACCATGTTTCGAAATGATTTATGTGCTTCATTGAAATCATAGTCATCTCTGTCTTGGATGTACACGACGCATACATATTCAGTTAGAAGCTAACTTTGATTAGCGATGAATTGAAATATATCATGTGTCATGGACCTAAAAGCTATTTAATTGTTTCAGTCATTCTTGATAATCATTGACCCCGAACAAATTGATGAGCAACGAGATATAAATCCAGTCATCAAGTATCCTTTTTTTATTATTATTATTTGGAATGACCAAAGTATCAGGGTACTAATTAACTGATTAAAAAATAAAATGTTACATTTTTTAATAATTGAATTTTGGAAGAGTTACAGTTGAAATTTTTAGAAAAAATTGAAATATAAAAGATTTTTTACAATTTCAGTCAATAATTGAATTTTACAGAATTGAAAATAATTTATCAAATAATTGCAAATAAAGTGATTTTCAATTGAAATTTTTAGTGTTGCTGAATAATTTATTAGAAATAACAGATAAAAATTGAACATTAAAATTTTTTAATTTGAAAAATGCTTTCAAATAGTTGAATTTTTGAAGAATATTATAAAAATCATAAAAAAAAATTGAATTACAGAATAGTTATAGTTGAAATTATTAAATTGCAGAAAGTTTTAAATGGAAAATTTTAGAAGATTTTAATGAAGATTTTTCTAATTTCTGTGAATAATTAAATTTTACAGAATTTTTAATAAAAAAAATGTTTTAAATAATTGATTTTTTGAAAAACTTGATGGAAATTGTTGGTTAAAATTATTAAATTATATTAAGTTTAGATTTTTGAAAATAATTGAATTGAAATTTTTGGTAATTTTAATTCATGAAATTAAGTTTTACAGATTCTTGAATTAAATTTTTTTATATATAATTCAATTGCTGAAGATTTCAAATTTTTAAATAAATAATGAGTAAATTTAAACTGTTATAAGTTTTTTTTTTAATTTCTGACAACAATTTAATTTTAGAGTTTTTATTTCAACCTTTTTGAAATAATTGAATTTAATAATAATCGAGATAATAATTTCAATCAAAAATTTTCATCAAGTTTTTCAAAAAATCAATTATTTAAAACATTTTTTTATTAAAAAGTGTGTAAAATTTAATTATTCACAGAAATTAGAAAAATTTTTATTAATTAAAATTTTCAAAACTTTAAACTTGAAATATTAGTTTAATTACCTAATTCTAAAATTTTTAATATAAAATTTTCTGAAATTTAATAATTTCAATTATAACTCTTTTGAAATGCAATTATTTTTAATGATATTTATAATATTCTTCTAAAATTCAATTAATTAATTATTTTGAACCAAAGTATCAGAAAACTAATTAACTGATAATAAATAAAAAAAAGTTCTATTAAAATATATTCAAAATCCTTTTTCTAGGTTTCAGGAGACAGAAATTTCTTCCTTTAAAAAAAACTTGAGAAATAAAAAAAATTCCTTAACAAATTTGCACAGGTCTCGATTTTCACAAGCAGTTGCAGAGCTTCAATTTCTTGGCTACATCAAAGGAACAAAAATAAAAACCGATCATGTGAAGAGGCTTGTTTATTAAATTAAAAATTATAATTACTAAATGTAATTTGAGAATAAATTGATATTTTTACTTTTTTAAATTGAAACTATAATTCCTTGTTCCAATCATGAGAAGAAATTATTATTACGAAGAATTATAAAACATAGTTAATTTATTTGTGGAAAAATATCAAATTCAAGAAAATAGAATCCAGGGAAATAAAATTGTGTACATATGTGTATTGAAACGGTAATTTTATTGGTCTAGGGCGAACCAATAACAATTACTTTTTGATGGTGCAAGTACTCATATCGTATATTTGCACAATACACATTCATATGAGAATAAACTCAACTATTGATTACGATAGGTATGTACGTTTATCTTTTTTTTTACGTCATTAAAAAGTTTGAAAACATTTTTGTTTCATAGTGAATAACAAAATTTTGATTAACACACGAGCTTCATTTTGAAAAAAAAGAGAGTGAGAAACAATATTTCAATGAAAGAGAATATTGCATTGATGATATATAATTGCTCCAATTTTTTTTTGAAAGCGAAAAATTAGTTATAAATGTTTTGTAAAAGAATTTTAATTGTGAAATTATTAAAAAAAAAATTTTTTAATTTTGTTTTCGTTAGGTTAGATTTGGTAAATTTTTTGTTTTAGACCAAAAAAAAGGGGGCTTAATTTTACTGCATATTCTATTCTTTTTTTTCAGCACAATCGCGAGCTTTTTGCCTGTCTCTTCTAGATCCGTGATCGTCCATCCTGAACCAAATATCTGTCTCTAGAGTAGTGCCAGTTGAGGAATAATTTAACGCCCGAGGTGAATATTGATGATACCTCTGTCGTAAATCTGCATAAAGGTTTTCGCCACGATGACGGAATACCAATATGTTTCGGTACCAGTGACGTTCGTCGTCGTTGCACACCGAACGAATTCTAGTCCACCATCTGTTTTAATCCAGAAATATCGGTGTCACCCTCATATGTCGATCAAGTCCTTTGTTATCTCCTCTTTTTTTTTCCTTTTTAGTTTTAATCTTGGGAGGAAAAAAAAGAGAGAACTATATCGATCTATATATAGGGTTTGAAATATCAGGCAAAGCGAGATAACGGACTCGTTTATTGAGTTTCGAAGAGAGGGCAGATGAAAGAAAAGAGGCTTGGGGAGGAAAAAGGATTAATTAAAATCCCTCTGAGACATATAAAGTCCTGCGATGCAACCGAATAAATTTAAAAAAACATTCTTTTAGGATTTTCTATATAATTACAACAAAAGATTAAAAAGAGGGTCTTTTTTTTATATTTGTATTAATTTAAGGCGCAAAAAAAGTCAGTTTAGATGATTTAAATTTCAAAAAAGTTAATTGTTTTATTTTAATTAAATTTAATTAGTTAATAAATATTTTACTTTAAATAACTAATATATTAAATTAATTTTATTAATTTCTTAATAAAAATAATTCTATAAGAATATTAACAAGAATATTTATTTCGAATATTTCAAAATCGAACTAAGACAAATTTTCAAAATTCTTACTATGTAGGATGTATTTCGTATTTAAAATTATGGCATATGGTCAAAAAAAATTCAGACAATTAAATTTTACAGATTTTTAAATTAAATTTTTTTTAATAATTGAATTGCAGAAGATTTTAAATTGAAATAAATTTTTACGAATTTCGATTAGTGTAATTTTTTTTAAATTTATGACAATAATTGAAATTGAAAAGAGGAAAAAAAAATTAAATTTTGGAAGTGATTCAGTTGAAATTTTTAGAAATAATTGAATTTCAAAAGATTTTAAGTTTTCGAAAATTGTAATATTTCAAGATTTTTTTAAATTTCATATAATAATTAAATTTTACAGAATTTTAAATTAAAATTTGTTTAAAAATTCCATTTTTAAAATATTTTAAATAATTGAATTTTCGAAGAACTTGATGGAAATTATTATTAATTATTAACTTTAAATTTTTTTAATAATTGAATTTTATGTTATTTTGAAATGGAATTTTTGGTAATTTTATTTGATGGAATTAAGTATTAACAATAATTAAGTTTTACAGATTGTTAAAATAAATTTTTTTTATACTTATAATTCAATTGCAGAAGATTTTAAATTTTGAAAATAAATTTTGTGCAAATTAAAATTATTATAGTTTTTTTTTTAAATTTCTGACAACAATTCAATTTTAGAGTTTTTATTTCAACCATTTCGAAATAATTGAATTTTTAAATAAATATTAAAATTATTAAAAATAATTGAATTTCGAAAGGGTTATAGTTGAAATTGAAATTTTTTGTAATTCTATTTGCTATTTTTTTTCTTTGTAAATTTTAAACAATTATTGAATTTCATAAAATTGTTAATTGGAAATTAGTTCATGATAATTGAATTTATGGAGAATTTTATAAAAATTATTGAAAATAATGAGTTTAGAGAAGAATTTTAGTTAAAAATTTTGTTAAATAATGCAAATAAATATCTGAATAAAATCTGCATTGTATATTAAAGAAGATATATACCTATTTTTTTAAAATTTTGTATAAAAAATGTTGTAAAAAAGTAGGAAAAAGTCGTATAATCCGAGGCCTGAATAATAATACTTGATATGTAGTAAAATTTTTAAAACTATTTTTTTTTAAACATTTGTATATATATATATATTATATAGAGATTGAAAAGTTTTGGAAAAAGTTTTCGCAGTTGCGAGAAAAACGAACATTAAGTTAATGTAGCACATTTCCTGAATGTTTTGAAATGGTGTCAATATCATTTTCTTTTTTGCTCTGTGAAGCCGGGATGTTCGTGAAAGCTTTCAGATTTAAAGGATGGTCCAGGAAACACATCAACGCCAACACTCACACACAGATCCTCACACCAAAGAGGACTTTAATATACAGAAAACGACATATACTTTCGGGGCTTGCTTCATGCAGTTTCATCTCGGACAACGACAACGACAAGATCCAATAGCGATAGTGTTGCTATAAGCTAAATTGTCTAGGATTCAGTATAGTAAGGTCACCGAGGTTAAGATGTTCCCTTGCTCTCTAAATTCGAAAAACATTTTCGAAAAATTTATCTTTTTTATTAAATCAACAAAAAAAAAAAAAAAATCAATTTGTACTTGTGACGCTGTAAAATTAAATTAATTTTACAAATCACAATTTCTTTGTTGAAATACAAAATTATTGACCAAATTAATGGATAAATTTAATGTAATTTGTAAAAAATAAATTTGTAAGAAGAAATTAAGAATTGTGGTCCAAATTTATATTGTTACCTCCAGTTAAAGAGTCTTTAAATTTTGTATTTCTTTTTGTGTTGTGCCAATTAGTGTGTATGAATAATTAGTTTCAATTTTGGTAAACAGATTAATTAATTAATTAAAAATTTAATGGCGATTTCTTTGAAAGTTGAATTTCTATTTTATTTGATTTCTCGATTGATATTGTTCAATATTAAATATAAGTTTTACAGTAGAAAAATTTTGTTTTCGTATCGGTCGTACTTGAACTTAATATAATAAGAAGGATTGTGAGAAACATTTAATTCTCTTTTGTTGTGTTTCGACTAGATTTTTATTATTTTATCTTAGAATTCCATGACAAATGAATTCAATTATATCAAAATTATTTTTCAATTAAAATTTTTATAAAATTTAACAATTGTTTATAATTTAAAAAAAATATATCACAATAAAATTGTATTATTTTTTAAAAATTTTGAATTCAAAATAAACTAAAATTCCATTATTACCCGAAATTTTAATTCAAAATCAATTAAAAATCCAATAATTATCCAAATTTTCAATTTAAAATTTAATTATTTATCAAGTTTTCAATTTAAAATGAAATAAAATTCAATTATTTTCTAAAATTTCTATTCAAAATTAATTATACAAATTTTTAATCAAAAATGAACTTAAATTAAATTATTATCCAAATTTCAAATAAAATTCAATTATTTCCCAAAATTTTCAAATCAAAATGAACTGAAATTCAATTATTTTCCAAATTTAAAATCAAATAAAATTTCATTATTCTCAAAAATTTGAATTCAAAATTAATTGCATTTTCAATAAGAATTCAAAAGCATCGAAAATATAATTATTTCTAAAATTTTTTATCGAAAATTTTTTTTTTGAAATTTAATAATTTCAATTATAACTCTAAGGAAATTCAATTATTTGTAACTATTTTAATAATATTCTTTGAAATTTCAACTATCTAAAACCATTTTTCAATTAAAAATGATTTTCAAATTATTGTATTCTGTCCGCATTTTCTAATAAATTTTTAGTGAAATCATCTAAAATTTTAATTACAAAACACTTAAAGTTTCAATTAACTGGAAAAATTTCAATTTAAAATTTTTGAAAATTCAATTAAATTTAAAAAATGTTTTTCAAAAATTGTTTGATAAATTATTTTTAGTTCTGTAAAATTTAATAATTGTTTGAAAATTAACAATATCTTTTGAAATTTAATTATTTCTAAAAATTTCAACTTTAACCCTTCGAAAAGGATTATTATTAAAAAAAAATTTTTTTATTTAAAAATCTGTAAAATATTTTTGTTAAAATAAAAAACAAATCCACTTTTTTTTGTGGAATATAAATCGACTAAAACGACTTTTTGTGTCTTTAAGTTGATTCGAGGCCTGTGTTTTTATAGTTAATATTTAATAGGTATTCGTTGGCCCCTGGTACCTTAAAAATTAATTTTTAGAAATAAATTTTTTTCAAATTACTATCTTGTACGAAATTTCCTGGTGCATCTTTTTTCTCATCATAAATTTTTTGCATTTGTATGTAAACAATTTTTGAATCAATATACAACTTTAAAAAAAATTTCGTTGGTAAACGTTGTGTACTTCAGCTTCGTGAATTGAATTTTCGAATTTGGAATTTTAAAGAAACTTATTCCGAAATTTGGAAACACAATTATACAACTTTGGCAAAAATGAGAAAAAGAATTGTCAAAATTTGACACGTCATAAGATTACTATTCAAAAAAACACGTGAAATCAGAAAAGGCCAACTTCAAGTTAGGACAGAAGGACAGACCAAGCATTTTATTATTA